AGAATCCTAATAATTACACATGTTCATTAGGTTTTTTATTTGGCTTACAAAACTGGTTTTGTAAGCCAAATAAAAAAACCTAAAAAAGTTTTAAATTTTTATTGAATTGATATTCAGTTCTTAGGTTTTCGCGATTGTTACACATAGGAAATGAAACTATTTTTCCGGATTTAAATCGCGTATATTTGTTTTTTCAAACAAACCGACGTTTCGGGCCCTTTACAGGTCCCATGGTCACGGTTGACTGAGGTGGTACAGTCTTCAACCAGTTATGTCTAATATTAATGCAAACCACCCTATTTTTTCACTATAGTTACAATAGTTATTAATTAAATACCTTGTTTTTAATTTTACAAAGAAAACATTCCAATTTACGCTACATTAAGTTTTACAAATTATTTCATTGAATGAATTTTTATTAAGTTTAATTTATTATTAATTATTAATAGAAATTAGAATAAACTAAAACATATTAATTAGTACTGCAATCTTATGTCTGTTTGGGATTTTTCATGAGAGGAAATACTGGATCCCAAACTGGTGGTACGGAGAAACCATCTTCCCTGTTGAAATTAGGATGTTTTTTAATTTCAATGGCCTCTCGCAGCATCCTGGGCAGATTTGAATTGATATTCAATTATATTTTGTGAAATTACTCCACTAGTTTGTTATAATTATTAATGCAAAGATCGAACACTCAGAGAAAATTCCTTCGATCGTGTCAGACGCTATACCAACTAAGCCACGGAACTAACCAGCGGACCTCACGAATTTTTCTATGTGCTTGCGTCGTGTCTATTGGTTACAGAGTTATCAGTCTTAACTAGACATGCTTAAATACAAATCAAATACAATGGAACCTACTAGATGTAAGCACAACATGCATATAATTTTCACCTAAATCTTCTTACGAACTAATTTGGACTCGGATAGCCCAATTTCTGTTTATAAACTAAATAAAAAAAAAACAATTAACAAGAAAGAAATGCAAAAAAAAGTGTGTGATAACTTACTTTTTTGAATAAATTTTACGTATACACCGTTTGGCTGAGGACAAAGAATCATTGAAAATATCGAAAACATTTGGAATACAATTATAGTTACTACACATTCTATATAGAGGAGAATGATGACCGAGTCTTGTCTTACATGCAGGCAGAGGTAAGGTTTTCCGATTTTGTAATCGGCTACCTATCAGAGGGAGAGAAAACCTGACATGCTTCAAAATATCCGGCGAATCAATATAATATTTTTTTATTATATTATATTATAATTTTATATCAATATAATATTATAATTTTTCATTATTTCGGAAAACGGAAGAAACTCCTCTCTATATCCTGTTTAGGTGATGATAAACACACAGCACAACTCACGACCATTATAAATAGTAACGTACAATGATGTTGTGTATTAACGTACAAGTTTCGTAATGAATAAATGAAAACTATAAACTCTAGCCAAATTCGATGTAGAATGTTTAATAACAAAACGTTGCTAGGCAACCAATGATGACATAGGAAAAGAACATTTTTTTCAATGCTCATTATAAAAGCTTCCTCTGCCCCCACGGCCTGCTCTCGTAATTGGAATTTAAATAGGTAAGTAGGTAATTGGGTTACGTAGAAATGATACTTACTTAGCCAATTATTATAAATAATAATATTAATATGAATTTACTACATATTATATCATCCAATATCTATTTCCGATTCTGAACTTGAATTACCACTAGAAGTCGAATGTTTGCAATCTCTCCCTTCAAATCAAAAAGTCACTAGTGATGACACAGTTTTACAAATAATTAATTGCTGGTCATTTTTGTGTCATTTTTAGGTAGTTTTAAACTTCTCTTGAATAATATTCATTATAAACATGGCTTCAAGATTTAGTATTATCTATAATCTAACTGAATTTCGTAGGAAAATATTGAAATTGTTGTAACTGTGACAGAGTCTGGGATGAAAACCCTAAAAATCAAATGTTTTTGTTTGTTGACATTTATTCTACATCGAATTTGGCTAGAGTATATATTCAAATATCAAAGCCGTCTTAGCGCGAAAACGGCTCACCGACAACCTTGTTGTCGTTCAGTCAATGTTACTGTCAATGTGCGGGGCGTGATGCGGTATCTAAAGCTAGGGAGGGGCGGAGAGTGTCCATTATCGTTACTATTTTGTTCTCTGCTAGAACCATGGGACGTATTTGCCATTGTGATAAAAGGATTTGTCAATCTGCGTAAGGTTCTTGTTGATTGTTGTCCAGGGTACGCCAGAAGTGTACGGAATATGAGTTTCACGTCTTATGGGTTGGCTCTTTTCGGGCATCCCAGGTCGTTGACAACCAATGTTTTTAAAGACAGGGGGAAAGGGAAATTAATTAAAAATTCTTTGGGATTGTACTTGGTACTTGGTGTAACAGGCTGGTGTCCGCAACTCGACATCAGTGCGTCTATTTTGGGATTGCAACACGAACGTATTTTATTATATTTGTTTACAATGACTTAAGAACTAGAATTTAAACTTTTTTTTTATCAAATTGTCCTCAAAAGTTTGCATATCGGTTTCTTATTGGAAACACATCTAAATAGATGATCTTTGACAAAATTCAACACCAAAATAAAACACTATCACTATGATAGAAGCCCCGCAGTAGAGAAATCCTGTATCGTGGGTGCCATGGACATACAGACAACCACAAATTACACCCAAACTCACGAGAGAAATAAATGTAGGCCGTACAAATATTTCTCCCGGCCCAGAAATCGAACCCGGAATCTCTGCGTGGCAGTCCAGGATGGCAACCGTTTGGCCACGGAAGCAGTTATATTATTAAAGTAATATAGTATCTGAAAGAGGTATAGTATAACAAATAAAAAAATTGCTAATTGAAATGCTAATTACAAACATTATTGCGTCTACTATATTTTACACCACATTTTTATCTTCCTCCGGAAAAATTACATAGAAATCACATTCAAGGTATTCGGTCTAAAATGACGATTTATGAATTATGATTTCTAAGACATTAAGTGACAGCACGAACAAGACATGGACCTAGTGGTGGCAGATAAACTGTCATTGAGACGGTGCGACGTGTTGATTGAATTAAGCTTTAGTATGACTCATTTGTGTATGTAAAGTGATGAATGAAGCTATTATACCCTACAAATTTCATCTGGCGTTGTTTTTATTACGATAGGCTATACTAGTACGGGTTTCATTCGCTTACAATGACCTTACACATGCGTACCTATTACAATAAATTATTATTATGAACTTTGCGAAACCCACCGTCTAAAAACCATAAACAAAAAAGAAACCTAATGCGAACCCATGGTGTAGTAAGGTCATATTTGTAAAATGGCAACTTATCAGAAGAGAGCTTTAAAGATTCTATGAACAAAATTAATTTTATGCTTAATCAGTACAGAGTACTAAAAAAACCGACCTCAAAAGTACGTGGAATTACGTCTATTTGCTAAGTTTTATTGAAATTCCCCTTAGTTCGCCATTATACAGGACTTGACATTGGAGATAATAAAAATAGGTTCTCACTACGACACTACTCAAAGTATATCGAGAGAAAAACGCCTTGAATTGGAGAAATAGCAAAATCAACCATTAAAGTAATTGCTCCTAAATTAAAGTTAGGCGCTATTTATAAAAATGAATCTTCATGCGTGAACAGCCACCCTTCGAGGTGGATGATTTTCTACAAAATGAAATGGGACCACTTTGGAAGTACCCCCTTTCCAACAAAAAAAGAATTATGAAAATCGGTTCACAAATACCGGAGTTATCGCGTAACATACATACAAAAAAAAGAAAAAAAAAGAAAAAAAAGAACATACAGTCGAATTGAGAACATCCTTCTTTTTTGACGTCGGTTAAAAAAAGAGCTATAAAACTTGAAATGCACGTTATTTGTTTCATATAGTTTGTATTGTGGAAAACTGGCGAAAGCATTTTTTTATAAAATCAAGTGACGGGATGAACAAGTCGTGCGCCTGATGGCAAGCTACACGCCTGTCCATAACAGTGCCCCGCCACTGCGCCCGTCACCTCGAGACATAAGTTGACAAGTCCCACGTGCCTAAAATTTCAGCAGCACTCTTACTCTTTAAAACCGGAACACAGTAATGCTGACAATAGGTAAGGTGGCAGTACTTCCCCGGACGAACTCTTTCTTAAAGAGCTCTACTGCTCTACTAACGTGGCCTTCTTTTGTTTCAACAAATGGAAAAATGAAATATCGTGCATTTAAAAGCACTCTAATAAAAAGTGCTAAACGGCAAAAAAATATTTTCTACCAGTAACTTTGCAGTAAATACAGGGTGCAGCTAATAAATGCAAAAGAATGAAATACACATCGATCATACGTTCAAAAGAGCATTTGAAAAAGGACATGAACATCACAAAAATATAGTTGTAATTTCTTTCGTAGAGCCTAAACCTTCCATCTGAAAAGTTGTAATTTTGCAGATATGGTTTTGTTACACCAAATGTGCGAGATATTGATTAAAGCGTTTGCTTTCTTTCGAATTCTTTTAAATAACTGTTACTTACAAATACTGAAATAACCGTGATATAATCTTCATACAGGGTACTAAAAAACAGACCTCAAAAGTTATTCAGCCCCTAGTTTGCCACCCTTAGACGTGGAATATTTTCTTCAAATTTAAGTAGGACCACTAGGTACCCTCTTTCCAACAAAAAAAGAATCATCAAAATCGGTCCACAAATGCTTTCATTCAGTTTTTCAATTCGACTTGTATTTTTTTTGTAATTTGGTTAAATTACTTTAACAAACTCGAGATAAAACTAGGCTAAAAATTTTAGATTTTTTCTTTTTAAATAGTAAAACAAACCCATTATATATGCCTCCGACATACAGTTTACACCTTGATTTTGTACCTATGCTGATATAACGTATTATCAGTATTCGCCTCACCGATTTAGTATCTTGAAACCGTTGCGAAGTACAGACGTATGCGCGGTTGCCAATTCTCCGGCGCAACACGAACATTTCGCTATCGTTAATTTCGAATTCGTATTAAAACAGCGATTTCCTTTTTCAAATAAACAAAGGAAAACTGGCGGTTATTAAAAAAATATGTTATTAAAACTTGCTTAAAAAGTTTTTTAACAAGTGGTTTTGTTAACTTTTGTGCATTGGTTTTTTATTTTGTGGCAGTTAGTTTTTGGTCTCTCCGGGCTGTGTTTTAGTGTTAGAGAAGACATCATCATGGTCTTAAAAACGTAAGTTTAATTTTAATTTTTTAACAACAACTAAATGTTTTCACAGTTTTCGCGTCTTGTTTTTTTATACTTTTTGAACGTCCAAAAGTGTAAACATTGGTACAGCATTGATTGTACATGATTATATTCGCGTAGACAGATACCACGGTTTCCTGTTATCGTAATTTTGGGTAACGTTTAGGCATAATCACAAGACAATTACACCAATTATCTGGTCTCAAACTGGGGAATTCCCTATGAGTATACAAAAAACCCTGAGTTGAAACGTTTGAAAAAGTTCGCTTCCTAAATTGATCTTATCGGGAATCGAAGTCAGGACTGTTTCAAAATCTCGCGCCATTATGTTGTCGTCGGATAAACTATTTGACGTTACTTATGTGGGAGATCTAGATTGTTTCGCAATATAGAAATAATCTAGTTTCCGCCTACGATACGACTACCGGTTCGTGAGGTGACTTGCAAATCAATTTCTCAATTATAAGATAAATATTTTATATGTAATATCACAAATTAAATTTATTTACAAATTCACAAACCGCATGAAGTACATTTCAAAGTCAAATAATCTTTATAAGCAAATGACACTTGAAATCATCATATAGTTTAAACTCTACTGTTCATTCGTGAGGCCGATTTCTCTGAGAAGAATGAGCAAGAAACTCTAGGGGTTGCTCTTTGTAAATAAACATTTGTACACATTTACAATTTAACTGCCTCCGTGGTCGAACAGTTACCATGCTGGACTGCCTCGCAGAGGTCCCGGGTTCGATTCCCAGGCCGGGAGAAATATTTGTAAACGATACAGGGTTTCCCTAGTGCGGGACTATGATTGAGTGCGTTATTTATTTTAGTTATTTATTTATTTCAAAATAATATGGATGCACGATTTTTGTGAGAATCGATTTTTTGGATCGTATCTGTGGATCTGTGGATCGATTCAGAGGCATATGATCCATAGATGTTGCCAAACCGCTTTTCTTGCAGGCCAATGCTGCCGCCGTTAGTTGAAAGAGCGCATGTGACAAAAACTTAAAACCACGAAAAGAATGTTTAAAGAAATGAAATTCTATAATCTCAGTACAGAATACTAAAAAAAACCGACCTCAAAATTACGTCTATTTGCTAAGTTTTATTGAAATCGGTTACCGGAAGTGCGAAACCGGATTCATCCCCTGGTTTGCCACCCTTAGCGATGGAACATTTTCTTCAAATTTAAATGGGACCAATGCTGAGGTACCAGTATATATATGTACATATTACATATTAGTAGTATATGTATATATATTAGTAGCAGTAGAACAGTAGAGGTTAGTACTGCCACCTTACATATTTCTGCCGCCAAGCAGTAATGTCAGCATTACTGTGTTCCGGTTTTGAAGGGTAAGTGTGACTCAGATCTTTGCGATTTAAAGCTCTGAGTGGCACTGCAACTGTTATGGACAGGCGTGTGGCCTACCATCAGGTGCACGATCTTGTTCGTCCCGTCACTTGATTTTCTAAAAAACACCCTTTTTCCAGCTAAAAAGAACCATCAAAATCGGTTCACAAATACAAATACTTACGAAAAAATACATCACTTATTTTGAAGTCGGTTAAAACTGTATTTTATTTGAATCGTTGATTAACGAATATCATATATAATATCACTTCCCGTGATATATTAATAAGATTTATGTACGTACAGGTTAAATTTATTATAGATAACCTAAACAATTTCCTACTTGACAAATATGTTTAACAATAAAAGG